TGGAGCTCTTGCCCCCCCCTCCCTGTGAGCCTAGTGTGCTCCGATTGGTCAGCTCGGCCACTCGTTCTGATTAGTCAACCACCAGAGAGGCTGCGCCCATGTCAGTGCTTTTCCCGGCTGCTCTCAGCGTAACATCAGTCTTATCATGGCGTCGGTACAGTGGTATATTTTATATACATATATATTTTTAACTGTTGTTATAGAAGAGTGTGACGGCCTCAGGGCCTTTGTCTTACGGTGGGGTGGAGCTGAAGAGGGTAATCAGCGCGATCACGGACACCTCCGTAGCCGGTGCTATTAATCCCAGCGGCCCGGAGTCTCTCTCCAAAGCGGCTGCAGAAGGACGAACTGAGCGACCCTCTCCCCTCGACCACCTGTCTCTGCATTTACTACAATAAATGTGCCGTGGTTTTGTAAACTCGTGTATGTCTCCTTGCCTTTCCGTTGTGGCCTACGAGCTACTCTCATAACAAAGAGTAAGTTATTTTTACCCGTTATAAACTACTACTGTTTGATGAGAAATCAAATCATGGTTTGCTATATATGAATTCAGGGAAGAAAGGATAGGCCTACTAAGTATTTCCATTAAACTTTATTTTTAGAAATGTACAAAATGAACATAAATATACATATATACACGGTATATCATCCATTCCTCCTCCTCGCATCTTGCCTGCGCACAGTCGGTGCGGTGCCTTTTAGCACCCTCAGTAGTAGTAGAATCCCTTCCCCGTCATGGATTGTCCGCCAGGATCTGGCTGGACGAAATCAAATGCAAATCACAAAATATTAGAGAAACTTAGTTGTTTTAGATTCGTTAGTAGTAGTTGTGTAATGAACAGCTTGCCTGCTAATATGCTAACCTAGCTTTGTTTACCTTGGTAGCTAACACGATATGAACGTTAGCTTGGAGGAAAGGCAACTATAATGCAGTGTAATAAAACTACTATGAACAAAAGCTAGTGGTTCATATTAGGCTAGCAATAACGTGTTTATAATTGCAATCGTATACGGGTATTCTGCTACGTTCGGTCATACAATGTAACTTGCATGAATACATTGTTTTGCGCTAGCATACAGCTAGCCTCGTTAGCTACATGCAGTATATGTACGGTCACAATGTACGGTAAATCACAGTACAGTATACTGTATGAGTATTCCGTGTGTGTGACTGCAGACATTCTCCTGCCATGACAAACATGTAAGGCCATCTGCTGACATTGTAGTTGATATATTTAAACGCTAGCAACGTAGCATCACAAAAATGTTTTTCTGACCGAAACTAGCTCTAGCTCCGTGTGTTAGATCGCTACGCCAGCTATAATGTAATTACGTTTCGCGACTGACCGGCAAATCACCCGGAGTATACTGTCAATAGGTATTTTGTGTGTGAATGCAGACATTCTCCTGCTATGAGATACATGTATGCAAGGCCATCTGCTGATATTAGAGTTGATATATGGAAACTCTAGCAACTTAGTTAGCACTGTGTCAATGGCTTAGCAGTCCAACACAGTTTACACATTTAAACAGTCTTGTTTGATAAATACACAAATAACAATGCAAACTTACAGGTTGTATACCCAGATCTTCCCCTGCTCCAAACGGTCCAAACAAGCTGTGCATATCCGGCCTCAAACTGGGCAATGTTTTGGAAGCTTTCGTCTGTGAAATGCCGGTTCTTCGAACCTCTGGAGGAGGAACACGACGCTGCTGGTGTGGCCATAGCTCTTCGGGATTGGTCCATTTCGTTCCGGGTACCGCATGACATCAGGCGGTACCCGGAACTAAATGGAAGACTCAAATGGGCAGTGACGTATCTCCAACGAGGCGTTTTGGGGAGGTATTTTCTGTGTTAGAGTTTTACTCGCTACAGGGTGTACTTTGAGGGTTTTGACTCTGCACACCGTTTACATGCATAAAAACCTTCATAACACACAAGGGGACGGGTAATAACCGGAAAAGCATGACATGGGAGCTTTAATCAAATAGGAATATAATTATCTTTTAAATAACGTTAACTAAAGGGAACAATCTCTTTGACACAGCTGAAGCTCTGGCCTTCCTTAAAAACTAACTAATTTAATAAAAATCACAGTTGTATTACTTACAATGCATTGTTTTTTGAGAACAAACATTGGTGAATAATGCACCATAATACATTCTGACGAAAAATAAAAATTATTATGAATACAAATAAAATAAAAGAAGCCTCCCGTGAGTTACTACAAGCTATAAAGTAGATTTTAAAAACGTTTTATAGAATAAAAGCTCACTGCTGGACGTTGTAGAAATGCGTGTGTGCACCACGACAAAGGAGCCTCATTCACTTTACATTGGCGTTGTTTGCGTGGTGCAGACACGTAAATGTAGCAAAGTTCGTGACTCCACCACGCAATGCAGTGTTAAGGAGTCGTGGTGGAGTCACGCATTCTGGTGAGATCAGGTTGTTAAATAATTACACATTTCAAGATTATAAAAACGTAAGTATCAGCATTATAGAGAATTGAGTGAAACAAGTAATGAAGCTGCAGCAGAATGACAGTAGTAAATACTATATTACCCAATATAAAGTATATATTGCACAGTTTTGTGTGACAGCATTGTTGTTACAGGTGTTGAGTTGTGCAAAGCCATGTAGTAAAATGTAAATATAGTACATGTAGTGAACAACAGTGTTGGTATAGTCCGAGTTGTGTGTGTGTGAGGGTCTATGAGGGGGAGAATACTATATACCAGAGGTGGGAGTAAGTCCTACATGTGCAAGTCATGAGCAAGTCTCAAGTCTTGACCTACAAGTATCAAGCAAGTCCCAAGTCACTGTGGTGAGAGTCAAGCAAGTCAAGTCAAGTCATTGCTCAGGTCAAGCAAGTCAAGTCATACGAAATGTTGATGAATAAGCCCAGTTTCCGCATTTAAATCAGTTAAAAGACAGTGGCTATGAAAATGGATTTAACCCACACTATGATCTTCATTACATACACAGTTAATCATTTGAAATCTAATTTAGATGAGGGGAAACTGGGGTGGTGGTGGGGTGGAAGCTGGGATGGAAGCTGGGGTGGAAGCTGGGATGGAGCTGGGGTGGAAGCTGGGATGGAGCTGGGGTGGAAGCTGGGGTGGAAGATGGGGTGGAAGCTGGGATGGAGCTGGGGTGGAAGCTGGGATGGAGCTGGGATGGAAGCTGGGGGTGGAAGCTGGGGTGGAAGCTGGGGTGGAAGCTGGGGTGGAAGCTGGGGTGGTGGTGGGTCAGGCGAGCAGCAGCAACATGAAACACAGCAGCAGGAACATGAACATGAATGCAGCAATAGCAAGTGAACACAGCAGTGGCAGCAGCAGCATGAGCGAGGAGGCAGAGGTAGGAAGAACTGGCAGCTTCAATAGAGCGGCATGTTTAGGAGAATGTGTTTGGTTGGTTGTAAGAGGGACGAGGTGTGTCACGTGTTAATGTATCATTGGTGCTCGAGTTGACTGCCTGAACTAGCTCGCAGGCTTCGCCCCATTAAATGTAAATGCAACGAGGTAGAGTTCAATCTGTATAAACTGGTCAGGGTAATTGAAGGAAAGTGTAGTCAAAGAAAGGAAACTAAGGTAGTAATAATAATAATAATAATACGTTTATTTAGTATAGCACCTTTCACAGAAATAGAATTCACAAAGTGCTTCACAAGAAAGAACACAAGATAAAATGAAGACCACAGAAACATGAATACAATAACAACACGAGGCAGAACTGAAAGGTCGACATAAAAACAAAACACAGACCACGTGGAGTCCTGAGAGGAACAAACATGAGAACAGAACACCTCACACACACCTCTGAAACACCCCCTCCCATTATCCCCTCTCTGCCTTTAACATGTTTCATCGCTGACTCGGATGAACTCACGGTCCCCTGAGCAACACTTCCTCTGCAGAATGTGTGCCACTTATTAAGTATAACTCAACTTACAGCTTTTTAAGAAACATATTTGCTTTTAAGGTCTCAATATTTCATGCGTCCTGACCGGCTGATTGGGTTTAAGGCGTCGCATGCCGGGTGGAGTTAGCGGGGGGGGGGAAAGCAGCCGCGGCGTCCCTTCGGAAAACACGGTCAGTGCAACTCGAGTTAATTCAGGAGTCAGGATTGTGTTCAGCCGAGCGCGGCCTGTTAGGACACGCCGCCGGAGGAAAACCTCGCTCCCTTTTCTCTCTCTCTCTCTGTGTTCTCCTGAAAGCTATGATTGAACCATTTTCATCTGCTGCGACACAAATGGACTGCAGGTCACCTCGTGTCTTTCAATTATTCCAAATAACATTTTAAAGCACATGAAAAAAGACAATCCTCTGTGACCACCTTGTGGCACATCATTAGTCAAACCCTTATTCACTGAGCAATTCAGAATTAATAACCTATTAATACTTATATAAGTGTATATATTGGGTTATACTTGGTATATATGATAGTACAATGTGCATTTCTACTTTTCTACAATTGCATTAAATCATTTAATGGATACAAATATTTTTTATTTGATAATGTCTTTGCCATTTTACCCCTCTTCTTATCTTCTTATGTTGATTAGACATTTTTATTGTATTTAATTGTATTATTTATTGCACATTCTTACTTTACATTTCTGTTTATATACATATTTTATTTTTATTTTATGATTTATGGGACATTTTATTGTAACTCTTTATGTTAATTTAAATTGTATTTGACTCTTTAGATATATATGTATTTCTACTGTTTATGTCTATCAGAATCAGAATACTTGATTCATCCCATTGAAATGTGGTTTTGCGGAAAAAATAGAATAGCACAAATATAATAACTACAATATCAAACATGAATATAATGACTGTTTATTTTCTTTGTATTTCAAGTCATGTTCAGTGCTTTGTAACATGCTGCCATGCCAGAACTATTTCCCCTTTTAGGATCATTACAGTAAACCTAATCTCCCTCTGTCGTTGGTTTTCCAAATGTCTAAGATGTCCCTCCCCTCTCCTCACAGAGCTGATGGACACCAGGGCGGCGCGGCCCTTCAGTTTCTCCTTCAACACCAGCGACTACCGCATCCTGCTGATGGACCAGGACCAGGGCCGGCTGTACCTGGGCAGCCGGGAGTACCTGGTGGCTCTGGACATGCACAACGTCAACAAGGAGCCGCTCATCGTGCGTACACAACTCACACCTGCTTTGATTCTCCTTTAATCCAGAGAGCTATGTGGCCGTCAAGAGTTACTTCCACTTTTACTGGACTGGCATTGACGCTGCAGAATTATACTGTAAGATTATATTGCTGCCCACTTATCTAAAGATTGTAAAATAGGGTCCAGGTTGTCACCTCTCAAAGTACCAATCCTTGCTCCGATTCTGGACTTGAACCCCCGACCTTCTAGTTTCCAAAGCTAATCCCTACAGACTGAGCTAATGTCCTAAAATCTAATGCTTACTTTCGTTGAATATAGAAGAAATCTACAAAGACAAAGTTAAATAAGCTCCTAAATGTGGATACTTTCTTGTCTATGTCTCGGTTCGTCTATGTCTCGCCATAACTCTGTAAATGCAATGATCCTGTTTTTCCCAAAAACTCAGATCCACTGGCCAGCGTCTGCGAAGAGAAAGGGAGAATGTCAGATGACGGGAAAGGGAAGACAGGTGGGATCACGTCTGTAACATCCTGTTCTTTCACACATCTCAGACTTCTGCTTTCAGGACGATACAATGTCTGGTATTCACCTCCGCTTTGTCCTCCTTGTGCAGGGTGAATGTGCCAACTTTGTGCGTATGATCGAGCCGTGGAACCGCACCCACCTGTACACCTGCGGCACGGGGGCGTACCAGCCCATCTGCACCTTCATCAACAGAGGCTGGAAGGCGGAGGTGAACATTAAAGCTTCCCCTGAGTGGCTTTACAGCAGGCGGAGAAGCGGTGTCCTGCTAAATATTTCAGAGCTACAAACTGGGACACTGATTAGTTTGTGATTTCCCCCGGGCTCCAATGTGACGTGTTTTCTATTTCCATGCATGCTCTCCTCTGCAGGACTACCTGTTCAGGCTGGTGCCCGGGTACGTGGATTCAGGGAAGGGGAAATGCTCCTATGATCCGAAACAGGAGAACATCGCAGTTCTGATCAGTAAGACTTCATTGTATTTATTTAAAAAGAAGAAGCCTCTTGTTTCTGTATGAAGCACTTCCAAAGGTTTGACTTAGTACATGTTCACAAGCAAGGATCAAACCACAACAATATGTCGGGTTAAGATTGAATTACAGGAGGTATTGGATGTTAAGCACCAATGAATTTAAGGGGAAAGGGTGAAGAAGGATGAGAGATGAAAGGATGAAGGGAAGTAGGGAGGGATGTTGGGAACGATGATGGGAGGGATGGATGAAAGGATGAAGGTAGGGAAGGATGAATGGATGAAGGTAGGGAAGGATGAATGGATGGATGAAGGGATGAAGGAGGGAAGGGAGGGATGAAGGGATGTATGAATATTGGGAGTTAGGGAGGTAAGGATGAAGGGATGTAGAGAGGGAGGAATGAATGAAGGATCATAGGGATTGAGGGATGACGGGATATAGGGAGGGAATGTTGAAGGGATGTAGGGAGAAAGGGATGAATGTATGGTGGGTCAAGGGATGTAGGGATGGGGGGGGGATAAAGGGTCAAAGAGAAGTAGAGATTTGGGTGAAGTTGAGGTAGGTAGGGGAATGGATGAACAAAAAGGGAAAGGAATGGAGGGGTCGTACAATCGGAGATAACGAGGCCGGAGTGGCTTTGTTTTCACTCATTGTACAAAAGTGTCAACCAAATTAAATATCATTTTTCGAAAAATGCTCAAAATCTCACCAATCTTCTCCCCTGTGCAGACGGTAACCTGTACGCTGGTGTCCACATCGACTTCATGAGCACGGACGCTGCTCTGTTCAGGACGATGGGCGGCCGGACGGCCATCCGGACGGAGCAGTACGACTCCAGGTGGCTGAACGGTGAGTCAGGGAGTCAGGGAGTCAGTGAGTCAGTGAGTCAGTGAGTCAGTGAGTCAGTGAGTCAGTGAGTCAGTGAGTCAGTGAGGGTGAGGAGGTAAACCGGGGGTGTCCAAACTTTCACAATTACTCTAGGAGTACATTGCTGGCCATTTATCTAAAAGGTTTTGTACCAACAAGACACAGAAAGGTGGGGAAATACTGAAAGGGAGACAAGTGAATAGCATTGTTTTACTGAAAGATAACACCATAAAACAGTTGATAATTACACAATTATTTTGCATATTACAAGTTTTCTGAAGGATTATGCTTAGATATGCAAATGATATCTTGTTAAAATGGAGGATTTAAATGAAATCATCCCACATATGTACAGGACCGAGGGACAAAATATACGAAGGGCTGGGCCACTCCCTAGAGGTATACTGCCTCATAAGTTCAGTTATGAGTTATAAAAGTCAATCCGATGTAGGTAAATTACTCTTGATACTTGAAAATGCTGTAAGAAAAAAACCGCTCACAGCTCTCCAGAGGGTTTCATCTATTGTGTTAGCAGCTCATTCCTTAAAACAGAAGCTTCAGATTGATTATAATAAGAGGAAATAGGAAGGCTGTATTTCAAGCTTGTTATGTAAATAAGTTATTGGGCTTTTTTATTATCAACTTAGATTTGTTAGAACATGTTTCCAACTTTAATGGACTGAATTTATTTGAAAAGTGGTCTTATTACCACATGAATACTACTGTGTAATATATTTGAAAATATATATTTAAGAAGTACAATATAAGACAAGCAGAAGTTTATTATACTTTAGTCATTATACCTTTTGAATTTGCTGAGGGCCGATTCTAAAAGTGTAGTTTGGACACCCCTGATCTAAACGGTTCTGATTACAGGTTACCGTTCCTCTCACACCCACTTGTCTCAATCCCTTCTGAGCCCGCCTTGTGTTTGCTCCTCAGAGCCCGTGTTTGTTCAGATCCAGAAGATCCCTGACAGCGCAGAAAAAAACGACGACAAGCTTTACTTCTTCTTCCGTGAGAAGAGTCTAGACTCCAGCGGGGGGGCGAGCCCCAGCGTCTTGGCCCGGGTGGGGAGAGTGTGTCTGGTGAGCAAGACGATATATGATGTGAAAATATATGAAGCTTTTAATACCTAAATCTGTCTGTGTTTTTGGTTTTATGATAACCCCACTTAGTATGACATGAATTTTATTAGATTTTCAGTTTATTTGTATAATATATATATTTTTTAATATATTTATTTAAATATTTTACTTTTTTATTTGTTATCAAATCCTCCTATATTATTTATATGAATTTTAATTTATTTTCAAATCTTTGTTATAATATTATTTTGGGCTGTTTTTTTATTTATATATTTTTTAATGAAAGAAAATCACATATAAATTAAAGAAAATACATTAAAGTAATTTATTTTTAAATCTTTCACAGTTTTTATTTTTTTATCATACTCCCCTTAAAATTATTCATAATTATATAAATATTTATTTATTTTGAATGTATTGGTATATTTATATTTAAGGTTGTGTCTTATTTAATTTGTATTGATTTATTTATTTTCTTCATGCAAAAAAACTATATAAATAAATAAAAAAACATTAAAAAATCATATTTTATTTTACTATAATCTCCCTTATTATCATTATTATGACACAGAATTTTTATTTATTTTTACTTTGTTAGTTCAATCACCTTTTTCTTTATCCATCACTCTTTATCTTTTCTCCTCCGATTCAAGGCATCCATTTTGGTTTATGTATGCTGTACGTAAAACATTTTTTTATATATAACAAAGGACATTTATGGACAACAAGTCAATAGATAGATAGACGGACGGACGGACGGACGGACGGACGGACAGACAGACAGACAGATAGATCGATCGATAGATAGATAGACAGACAGACAGATAGACAGAAAGATAGATAGATAGATAGATAGATAGATAGATAGATAGATAGATAGATAGATAGATAGATAGATAGATAGATAGATAGATGGATGGATGGATGGATGGATGGATGGATGGACGGACGGACGGACGGACGGACGGACGGACGGACGGACGGACGGACGGACGGACGGACGGACAGACCGATAGACAGACAGACAGACAGACAGACAGACAGACAGACAGATAGATAGATAGATAGATAGATAGATAGATAGATAGATAGATAGATAGATAGATAGATAGATAGATAGATAGATAGATAGATAGATAGATAGATAGCTAGATGGATACTTTATTGATCCCAATTTAAGAAATGTTTGCGGCAACATAAAAAAGCAAGGCAATGTACATAAGAGAAATTAAGACATAAGAACTAAACAGTCCAAAATATTTCTGAAATTGAAATAAAATAGCATTAAAAAGTAAAAAAGTAAATATGCAGCTTTGTGATGAATGGTTTTTATTGATCCGTGATCTAACCCCTTCCCCCCCAGAACGATGAGGGGGGGCAGAAGTCTCTGGTGAACCGCTGGACCACCTTCTTGAAGGCTCGCCTCATCTGCTCCGTGATCGGAGATGACGGAGTGGAGACCAGATTCGACGAACTACGTGAGGCCCAGATAAAATAAACTTTAAACTGAATGCATTTTTTAAATCCCAGCTGCTTTTAGACCGGTTATTGTTCTCGCATCCTCCTCCAGGCGACGTGTTTATTCAGCCCTCACAGGACGAGAGGAACCCCACGGTGTACGCTCTCTTCACCACAGCGGGGTGAGGCTTTCTGATGTTTAATACGTTCTTTTTGTGGGGGATTTTCATACTGGGATATCACTTCATATATAAATAATATTTAGGGTTAGAAGCTGTACTTTCTTTCTGCCAGGATTGAACATTTAACAAGTTATACGGACATGATGTTCCGTTACAAATATATATATATGTTAATAATTTAGTTTTTGGGAGAAGGGGTGGGATTAAATAAGTGTAAACTTCTTCCCACCGCTTCTCGGATGTGTAATTAAGTAGATCATTTGTTTATATATAATTTATAAGTCAGTCATATTTTTGTTTATGGAGTATAATAATTCTCATGTTTCATTTAATTATTATTATAATTTTTTTGTATTATTGTTATAAATCAAATCAAATCAAAACTCAAATCAAAAAACTAAAATTCCACAAAACAAACAGATAAATATCAATAATGCGTTAATTATAAATGAAGAAAGTGCTATCATTCAAAGCCAACTTTATTGTCAATCTTTTGTGTGTACAGACAGAGAGATCGAAATACCGTTTCCCACAATCCAGAATACAAAATATAAATATATATAAAATATGTATATCCTATTTCAATCAGGAGAGACTTCATTTTGTTTAAAGAACATTTATTGACACATGCCATGTGATAAATGTTAAGTCTTTGGCGATTAGACCCCGATCCTGAAATCGTATATCTAAAGGGGGAAATGCAGCCGTGAGCATATAGGCAACCCCCCCCCCAGGGTCTAGACCAGGGGTCTCCAACCTTTCTTCATCTGAGAGCTACTTTCAAAAAATGAAAGTGGCCAAGAGCTACTTGCATCACATCGCTTACATTTATTCACATAGCCCTCATCAGTTGAATTAAGCTATACTTTTGTACACGTGTGAAATTGCAATACCTAAAGCTTATCAAAAATAAGGTCCAAGAAAACGAAGATTTCTCACATATTATTATGGCCCACATAATAAGTACATCACTGAACATTCACATAAGTGTCCTTAATCACCACCTTACAAGCATTTCACTCTTTTGTTAGTGAGATGAATGGCACTGCATGCAGTCCACCATAGAGGTGTATGCTGGAGTCATAGAATAGAGTCATTTAAATGTTCATCAGTTGGTCTTGTTCTGTATTTAGATTTCATTCATGTCAGAAAAAGCTGCTTCACAAAGGTATGTAGAACAGAACCAAATAAAGCAGACATTTTCAGTGCTGCTTGGTGAATGTTCTATAGTTTTCGGGGTCTACAAGGCTCCAGAAATGTTGTGAGTTTTGCTGAGACTTAAGCTGAACATTATTTTGGAGATCTCCACAGGATTGACACTGAACAGTTGTTCAGCCATCTTTTTCTTCTTCTTCTTCGTCTTGACATTAAATTATAAACCATAATAAATTAATTGTATAGGTCTAGCCTCCCTATATCTGTGTGTGAAAATGGTTCCATCCTCAAAAACAAAAAACTAATACTTCTGCAGTCTAGCTGCAGCTTCTAGCTACAGTCTTCTGTTAAAAAAAAGACACTGAATGTCTTGAATGCATCACACACAGGACTTGAGTCTGAAAACAGCAGGAGTATTTACAATAGCATTATAAAAACAAAAATAGTGCATGTGGGTGCACACTTACATTCTCTGTCTTACTGTTACATAAATCCCATGAATGTATGAGATTAAGTTAGCTTCATCATATCTCAATCAGTGATTAAGTGAATAATAAAGTTTCTATCGGGTCACTATCAGCCTGTCACTCATTATTTTCAGGGAGGGGGCGGGGTTTGGAGGAACGGAGAGGAGACGGTGATCGTGGAAGCTTTCCTCCTGCCTTCACAAACTTTACACAAGTATTTATCAACTGAAAATAGCAAGAGGACATTCATACTCTGCAATCCAAGACTTGATTAAATCCACCAAAAACCTGACATGACGATAACGAGTGTTTTTCAAAAAACACAAATCCCTCCCTGTGTGTCTCTGACGCGCAGCGACAGGGCCTGATTCAGAGCGGGTCATTCTGCTGTTGGTTCTGGACTGGTGCTGGTGGAGAAAGCAGACTGCTCCGTGTGTGTTGTCGCTGTGCTGCTGTCACGTCTGTTCCTTGATCTCTGCGTCACCGACCATTTGATATTCGTGTGACAGAAAAAATTCTAAAATAAAAAAACGTTATTGTCCAGCCGCGGCCGAAAAATCAATAAGCAACCTTACTACGCTATAATCAATAATCGAGCGGCGAGCTACTGAAAAGCTGCCCGCGAGCTACCGGTAGCTCGCGATCGACGTGTTGGAGAGCCCTGGTCTAGACACTAGTGAGGATGCTGAAGATCTGGATTTGATGAGGAGATGGGATGAAGAGGGGGATGTGATGAGGTCTTTGGATTAGCTCTCCTGGCACTGGATGTGATGAAAGGAGGTGGATGGGGAGGAGGCGGGCGGCAGCATGAACGCCTGAAATCACAGCTGACTGCAGGAGAGAGGAGAACCATTTTAAAGTTTGGCTGCAGCACGCTGATTGGCTGCTGGAGAAATGTAATAGGTTAAAAAAGAAAGCCCGTGATGAGCTGATTATAAGCAGCTGCGGAGTGAATGTATACCCAGTCTTCCTGAAAGAACTTGCGCTGAGCTTCATACACACAATCAACAGACACATTTATATGCTCACATTAAGACATACATAAAAGCACAACAATCAATATGCAAAATAACAGTGCACTTCAATGCTATCTTTCCGTCGCTACTTCGTTTTAAAGCTAAAATGACCGCTCTTGCGTCAAATGAAACTACACAACTTCAGGAATGTGTTTGGGAGGGAGGTTTATTATCGCTCCTAAGAAAGCCTTGATTTAGTTGAGGGAGAAACGTGGTCACAGGGGTCCCTCGACCTCTCACCTCAATATATCTGAATGAAAATGGGTTCTATAGATACCCCTGACTCCCCTTCACAGACCTGCCCACTTTATGCTAATCACAAGCAGTTTGGGGTAAAAAAACACGCAGTTCTTTGAATGTTATTTTCACCTAGTCTAAGGATGGTGTGTGTGAATATTTCTGCACACAGAGGTCCCTAAACAGTGTTGGAGTTGCTTGAATTGGGCATCATTGAAATGCTGAGACTCTTGTGGATTTAATGAGCTCCGTAGTTTCCCTCTGTGATGATGCTAGTTCTCATAGCAGCCCTTTTATTGTCGTGAGACCATGTTTTGAAAGTGGATTTTCGTGTACAAAATGAGCTTTAGGAGAATCACAGCCTCATGAAACGTTACAAACAGAGACGAGAGATTTACAGCATTCAGAAGATGTTTGGCTTTCATAGATATGTTGATGTTAAAGAGGTTTCTGAGCAGTTTCCAGACACAAGTACTCGCCATTTACTTGCTGACAAATCTAAATCTCGCAGACATCTCCAAATGTCAAAACAAATTGAAAACAAATGACAGAATTACTTTTTTTTATTGGGTTTTCAGACAAATACCAGACAACAGTCGTGTACAGAGAATCACATTGGGCTTTAGGTAATACAGGTAAGAAATACAAGATTACAGATACAAAAACAAAAAAGGCCACGAGAAAACAAAACAACACGATAGGTCACCTCTGACAGTTAAGAAATGATCTTGATACATGGCAGTTGTAAATGAGTGCTCACATATACTCGTACATTGAGTGCCAAGCAGTAATACACCAATTAAGTCATTCCAGCAAATTAGGCATGTCTATCATTTTATCAGTATATGCAAAAACTGGTCCCCATGTCTTCTTAAAACTGGCAGACGACCCTCTCAGCGTGCATCTAATTTTTTCCATATTAACAAAGACAAATATATCTCTCATCCAGTCCTGATGGGCAGGTGAAGCTGGTAGAGTTACTTTTCTTATGGGGTTGGTGAAGATCGCGGTGTCTTAAAATTTGGAGTGATTTTTTTACCACTTTTAACAATTCTCAAGATGTTTTCATTTTGTAATATTGCACAAAATCCGCTAAACAAATCAGATCAACTCTTTCAGTAAAAGAGGAAAAAACAAAAACAGAATTCCAAACATTTAAAGGTGGGGTATGTAAGTTTGAGATACCGGCTCGAGATACACTTTTTGTTATATTCCATGGAATGCTCTTAACATTCCGATAGCAATGAATATCTGAAGTGCTTTGACAAAAAATCCATAAAAAATGTCATCTGTGGAAGCCGTAGTACTGTAAAAAGCACGACCAATCATCTGAGCCGGCCCGGCTAAAATAACTGGATGGCCTACCTGCCTGTCAGCCTTCCATCTGTGCACAAACTTATCTCGTGCCCTCATTGGTCATGTGCGTGTTCGTGTGTGTTGGAGGAGGGGCTCTGTGAGGAAGTGGCAGATTTTCTCCGGTTGTGTATTTTCAAATTCCAGCGCACTCGAGCTGGTTTCTCCAAAATGACCTACCCCACCTTTAATACTTGAATATTTGAAAACACAATTTACATTTTTAAGTGAACCACCTTCTTACGTGTTGTTGTGTTTGTGCTGCAGCTCTGTGTTTAAGGGCTCGGCGGTCTGCGTTTACTCGATGGCCGACATCCGCAACGTCTTCAACGGACCGTTCGCCCACAAACACGGACACAACTACCAGTGGACGGAGTACACCGGGAAGATCCCCTACCCACGGCCTGGATCTGTACGTTACCTTTATTTTATTTTTTATTTCCAAATATAATATAATATAATATTATAATTCATGTTAATATTATTATTATTGATAGGAATTTTTATTTATTTAAAATTTTTTCATTTCATGTTTCTTTGAGCTGTTTTTTTTCATTTTTTTAAATGTCTTTTTATTATTATTTATTATGAAGCCCGTTAATGTTATTATTAAAAACAACTTTTTAATTTGTTTAAAATGTATTAGTTTAATACTTTGTTGGGTTGTTTATTATTATTTATTTTTCTTCTTACCATTAAAAAAACGGCTCTGAGATTAAAAGAGTTAGCAAATTATTCATTTAAAAAAACAAAAACCTGCATCAAAGTAAAACCAAATGATGTCTCCCCTTCCTCCTCCTCCCCTTCCCCCTCCTCCCCTCCTCCCCTCCTCCCCTCCTCCCCTCCAGTGTCCAGGAGGAACCTTCACTCCCGGGATCAGCTCCTCCAAGAACTTTTCCGACGAGACAGTGAACTTCATCCGAGCGCACCCCCTGATGATCAACCCGGTGTACCCGATGCACCGCCGCCCCCTGGTGGTGAGGACCGGCGTGGACTACCGCTTCACGGCGCTGGTGGTGGACCAGGTGGACGCTGTGGACGCCCGCTACGAGGTGCTGTTCCTGGGGACAGGTGAGGAGGTCGCACTGCATTACTCTGGTAGAAATATCAGGATTTTATATCGGCCTTTAAAATGTAATTTCAATTTTCAATTCTATTCAAAAAGCTTTATTATTCAAAGATTCAAAGATTCAAAGATTCAAAGATTCAAAAGATTCCAAGGTTTTGTAGAAATAGCAATGAAACTCTTCTGACCTGAGCTCCTCCAACAATGCAACATATATAATAAAATACAAAAATACGAATAAAACCTAGAGCAAGAAGTCTATAAACATGTAAATAGAATATGATATGTACAAGAACAGAATATGAAATTAAATATTGTACATTAAGACTAAATTAAATACGGTTTATTGCGGTGATAACTATTTAGATAAATAAGTGGATTGCAAAATGACAAACAGATGACACACATTATTGCCAAAGCTTTGTATAATCTTGACATCTATACATAAATATACATTTTGAATTTAATGTTAAGTTCATAAATGTTTTTTAACAAATGCAACAAAAACAGAGAGCAATAGAAAAAGTTAAGGTGCGTTATTGATTGACAATTTATCTCACTTTGTGAAAACCTACTTTTATTTTCTCTCTCTCTCTCTCTCTCTCACACACACACACACACACACACACACACACACACACACACACACACACACACACACACACACACACACACACACACACACACACACACACACACACACACACACCTACATTAAATGTTACTTATCTTGCTAATACACTCAATCAAACACTTAAAAGTAGAAAAAGTAAAAAGTAAATACATACATAAATAATACACCTAAAGCAGTGCTTCTCAAAGTGTGGTCCGTGAGCGCCCCCTAGTGGTCTGTGAGCGCCCCCTAGTGGTCTGTGAGCGCCCCCTAGTGGTCTGTGAGCGCCCCCTAGTGGTCTGTGAGCGCCCCCTAGTGGTCTGTGAGCGCCCCCTAGTGGTCCGTGAGCGCCCCCTAGTGGTCTGTGAGCGCCCCGTAGTGGTCTGTGAGTGCCCCCTAGTGGTCTGTGAGCGCCCCCTAGTGGTCTGTGAGCGCCCCCTAGAAAAAAAGTTTGAGAAACACTGACCTAAAGCAGTGCTTCTTAAACTTTTTTCAGTAATGTAGCCCCTTTGAAACATTTTCTCAGCCAAGTACCCCCTGACCGACCCCGGACATTTTTAATAGAAAAAGCCTATATAAATAATTATAATATAGTGATGTTCCATCAGTGTGTGATTTATTAACTCCTTCATGCATGAATTACAACAAACTAAAAAGGATATTTTCATCTTTATGCAGGAAAAAAAAGATTTTTCCAAGGGGTTTTTCAATTGAAGTAATATATGTTTAACAAACCAATGAACAAAATGATATATATACAATACACACATTTGACATGTTTATATGAGGACCCCCTTGGTGGTTCTAGGAATATATATATATTTTTTAGCTCACGTACCCATGCAGTACCCCAACGTACCCCTAGGGGTCAGCGTACCCCCATTTGAGAATCACTGACCTAAAGGACCTCCTTGGGAGAGTGGGAATATATACTTTTTTTAATAGGTCATACATTTATTTTTTTAGATGTTGTTAATAAACATTTTAAATGTAATTTCCAGATCGAGGCACCGTCCAAAAAGTGATCGTGTTGCCGAAGGACCCGACCAGCATGGAGGAGCTGACGCTGGAGGAAGTGGAGGTTTTCCGGGTACGTCTCAATATGTCCTCGTACAATAACATTATTATTAATCTCATATGATTAGATTAAAGCAATTGTTTTTCTATCCCTTGTTAGAGGATTAAATAATTATATTTAGTTGTTATAAAATAAGAGGTACTTTATTGATCACAATTTCAGAAATGTTTGCGTTGCAGCAGCAGAAAAAACTACAAAACAAAACAATGCATTGCACATAAGTAGAAATTAAAGAGTGGAAATAAATAATACTGAATTTACACACCTCAAAATAGAATTAAAGCAGCATTTAAAAAGTATAAAATATACAGTAGGCCGTGAAGATAACACATCTATAAACTCTTTTATCAATTTCCAGTCCAGAGCTCCAGTGAAAACCATGAAGATATCGTCTAAGAGAGTAAGTTACTTCTTCTAATTTAATTGATATATTATAATGTGTTTCTTAATGCTCTTAATGTCTTTCATTTTTGTAAAGCACTTTGAATTGCCTTGTGTTGAAAGGTGCTATATAAATAAACTTGACTTCTAAAAGACACATTTCAGTGCATGAATCAGAATTCCTTTATTCGTCCCACAGAGGGGAAATGTACACACATGAACCAAACCCCTCTGAGTTTAAAGGTCACCTATTGTGCAAAATCCACTTGTTCATGTCTCTTCTACATCAACATGTGTCCCCTCTTCTTCATGTCTCTTCTACATCAACATGTGTCCCCTCTTCTTCATGTCTCTTCTCAGTGGCGTTTTTATATGTACAAAAGTGGTGGGGCACAAAAAACTTAGATGTCTATATATAAGCTTCTGCAGTGACGTGCAGTGAGGTTCATGGCTGGTGAGGCACTGGCACTGACTCTTCAGGTTTACAAATATTATATTTTGACCTAAACCAAAATATAATATTATTTTCAAAAGCTTTTTTTGTCTGATGCTTCGATTAATTTTAAACAGACAGTTCAACAAAAGGATACCCAAAAAATGTCATTTTATCATTTAAATATTGAATTGTTCTCTCTTAGTAAGATCCCATTTTCAATAAAATGGCGGTCTTACCTTGACTTGAAGATGAAGTCCATTTTCCTATCCTTCTGGACAAACATTTCTATTACTTTTTTGTAAAAGTCCTCCTTATGTTCTTGTAGTTTCAAAAGTCTATCATAAATCTAATCCATAGATTTATGATAAAAAAATTATAAAAGTAGGGTAGACATGTGGATGTTATCCGGCTAATCAAAACGTGCATTTATCTAACAGGTACGTTTCCCACAGATCTTATTTCGAGCTATTTTCTAAAATCCTCTGGAGAAATCTCATTGCTTTTTTGTGCTTACTTCCTGGTTTTAGGACGCGCCACTGCAGCTCTCTCGTCTCCTCTTCACACAGCACACTTTTCGCGGCACACGTACTTACAGCCAATCAGCTCTGAATGATTTGAGATGACGTATGGTGGGGATGGTAGCTCCATGCCCCTCTGGTCATTATTTTTTTGCCACACACATTTCATTACAAAATACTCTGAGCATGCGCAGTGAAGTTTTTACAGTCACCGTTGACTTCACAGCGAGAGGAAGGGGCATGATCAGGTTTTGTCCCACATGGCTCTAAACAGCTCAATAGGCACACACTGTGACTGTAGACACACTAATTAGAAGAACACAGACTAAAACAGCAATGTACAGACGAATCAGATGATTAAACATGATCTTAAAATATATTTTATATATTTTTTTATTTATTTTTTTGCATTTTTGTAATCATTATTTGTAATACTTTCTGCTGACACTAGGTGGGGCTGTGCCCCACCTGCCCCTAATGACCAGTCGCCACTGTCTCTTCTACATAAACATGTGTCCCCTCTTCTTCATGTCTCTTCTACATCAACATGTGTCCCCTCTTCTTCATGTCTCTTCTACATCACCATGTGTCCCCTCTTCTCCATGTCTCTTCTACATCAACATGTGTCCCCTCTTCTTCATGTCTCTTCTACATCAACATGTGTCCCCTCTTCTTCATGTCTCTTCTACATCAACACGTGTCCCCTCTTCTTCATGTCTCTTCTACATCAACATGTGTCCCCTCTTCTTCATGTCTCTTCTACATCAACATGTGTCCCCTCTTCTTCATGTCTCTTCTACATCAACATGTGTCCCCTCTTCTTCATGTCTTTTCTACATCAACATGTGTCCCCTCTTCTTCATGTCTCTTCTACATCAACATGTGTCCCCTCTTCTTCATGTCTCTTCTACATCAACATGTGTCCCCTCTTCTCCATGTCTCTTCTACATCAACATGTGTCCCCTCTTCTTCATGTCTCTTCTACATCAACATGTGTCCCCTCTTCTTCATGTCTCTTCTTCATCAACATGTGTCCCCTCTTCTTCATGTCTCTTCTACATCAACATGTGTCCCCTCTTCTTCATGTCTTTTCTACATCAACATGTGTCCCCTCTTCTTCATGTCTCTTCTACATCAACATGTGTCCCCTCTGTGTAAAGAGACTCTGAAAGTTTCAGGAAAAAAGATTCTCTCTCTTTTTGTCCTGATCCATTTTTATAAAAACCTGTCTGAAAATGAGCTGATCAGATTTTGGCCACTTTCTGATGTCATAACGATGTTTTGGCTTGAGTAACCATTAGCCAATCACCAACCAAGGTAACCCCCCCCCGCTCTTTTTAACCAAATCTCTCTCAGAGGGGCGTGGGGAGGGGCTCCTTATTTTCATCTAAAGTAACAGACAGAGAATCAGCACTTTTGAAGCAGGGCTGAAACAGAGGGGATTATGGGATGCTGCAATGAACTGTTTGGTGTTTCAGCCAATCAGAGACAGGTTCTGTATATATCTGAGACCTGTGATATATTGATGAAAAACAGTATAATAGGGGACCTTTAAAGTGTGTTTCTTGCCTCCCAACAGCAACAGCTGTACGTGTCGTCGGACGCGGGGCTGACCCAGGTGTCTCTGCACCGCTGTGGGGTTTACGGCCGGGCGTGCTCCGACTGCTGCCTCGCCCGAGACCCTTACTGCGCCTGGGACGGGGAGAGCTGCTCCGCCTTCACCCCCTCCACCAAGAGGTAAGGGGTCACACTGAAGCACACTTCACTGCACCAGTCAATACTCAAATTAAATAATAATACATAATAATACATGATACTTATATGCGCTTTTCTAGAAACTCAAAGACGCTTGTTACAGTTCAATCCCAGATAAAATGTTCCTTATAGGGTCTTGAAAATATTTTCTTGAGGGATTGAAATTAAATTTTAAGTGTCTGTTGTTTCTTGACTTAATATCTTGTCCTTGTTGATGTTGCGAAAATGTAAAATGTTATCTTACAAAAAAAGTAGTATAGAATGTTACCGTATCAATTCCATATCATATCATATAGTACGGTATAATATCGTATTGTATCATATCATATCGTATCATAATGTGTCATATCGTATCGCAACTTATGATACGAATTATTTCGTATCATAATGTCATTGTGTATCGTATTGTATTGTACCGATTTATAATATCAGATACTATTTTTAGTCTTATATTCTGTCGTATCGTATTCTATCAAATCGCGTCGTGATTTAATTTTGAATTGACCAGGCCGTTGCATTATCTCCCACCAACAATCAACACTACAATATGGTTGTAATCCATATCAAGATATATAGTTAAAAATATTATGATGTTTGATATTTAATCGTCCAGACCTATAGTGTCAACTTAACTCTTCATTTCTTGTTTTCAGGAGGAGCAGAAGACAGGACGTTAAACATGGAGACCCTCTGAGGCAGTGCAGGGGCTTCAATGCCAAAGGTGGGGCAATTCTTCTGTTTTCTTTAACTTTTAGAGTGTGTTCGTTCGTAGCAGTTTGGCAAGTTTACTTATATAGCACAGTTTAACGACAAGGCAATTAAATGTTTCTTCAAGGCTTCAAGGCTTTTATTGTCATGTGTACATAGCTACAGTGTAGTTATGACAACACTGTAACACAATAAAACAGATAATAGTGCAAGTAAATACAATAAAATATAATATAATAGAAAGTGCAGAATAGTCTATACACAAGTAATTGGAATATTGATAAGTTGCAAACAGATGAATGTTATGGATGTTCTTTCAAAAGTTCAGGTGTTTAACAGTGTATGTGTGTGTGTGTGTGTGTGTGTGTGTGTGTGTGTGTGTGTGTGTGTGTGTGTGTGTGTGTGTGTGTGTGTGTGTGTGTGTGTGTGTGTGTGTGTGTGTGTGTGTGTGTGTGTGTGTGTGTGTGTGTGTGTGTGTGTGTGTGTGTGTGTGCAGTGGAGAAGCGTCTGAGGGAGACGGTGCAGTTCGGGGTGGAGGGCAGCAGCACCTTCCTGGAGTGCCAGCCTCGCTCTCCTCAGGCCTCGGTCAAGTGGCTGTTCCAGAGGGAGGGGAGGAGGAAAGTGGTGAGGAAATTAAACCTGTTTCATTTCTACTGTTTACTACTACATTACACTCATAGCCAGAGGTGGGAAGTAGTGGAGTACAAATACTTTGTTACTGTACTTAAGTACATTTTTCTAGTATCAGTACTTTACTCCACTACTTATTTTTCTGACGACTTTTTACTTTTACTTCTTACATTTTGAACAGAAATACCTGTACTTTCTACTTCTTACATGTTGAACACAAATACCTGTACTTTCTACTTCTTACATTTTGAACACAAATACCTGTACTTTCTACTTCTTACATGTTGAACACAAATACCTGTACTTTCTACTTCTTACATGTTGAACCCAAATACCTGTACTTTCTACTTCTCACATTTCCCAAACAGGCTGGTTCCTTTAGTTTGAATGTGTGTTTGGTGGCGTGATCATTATTATTTAGAGTCATTGCGTGCCTATTGATTTGAACACGATCCGTGTATCCATCATTTCCTGGTCTTCTCTAAAGAAGAGGGACCAATGAAAACGTTGTCATGTTGCCGTTGTTCAGCATGGAAACATTCATTAGCTAACAATGACATTATTGTTCTATTGATATAAAGGGAGGTCAGGTACTCTTTAAAACAGCTGCTAGTTATGGGTACTTTTTACTTAAGTACATTTCAAAGCCCATACTTCTTTACTTTTACTTGAGTAAAGAAGTTTAGTCAGTACTTCTACTTTCACCAGAGTATTTTTAAACACGAGTATCTGTACTTCTACTTGAGTAAAGGATGTGTGTACTTTAACCATCTCTGGATTGCACCATCGGGAATGCTTGGAATTTCGCTGTACTCTCTGTAGTGACAATAAAGGAATCTAATCTAACTTTGATTTCCCTTTTCTGCAGCTCAACCGTGTGGGAGGAGTCCTGAAGACGAACCACGGCATCCTCCTGAAGTTTCTGAACCAATCAGACGCGGGGCTGTACCACTGCCTGGCCACGGAGAACAACTTCAAACACACGGTGGCCCGCGTGGCGCTGCGCATCCTGGACCGGGACATCGTGCTGGCGCTCACCGCTCAGGACGAGGACGAGCAGCCCAAAACTCGCCAGGCGGGGGCGGGGGGGGCGTCTCAGTCGTCCCTCGCCTCCACGCCGTTCCCTCCAGAGATCAGACTGATAAACCAGTACTGCCAGTCGTACTGGGAGCAGCTGAGCCCCCGGCAGCAGCAGCGCAAACGCACCAGCCGCCGGCACACAGAGGGCCAGGACCAGGGCCTGGGCTAGAGCACGGACCCCCCCCCCCTAACACCCAATACTGTGGACTTTATGGTGGACTTTTTCATTTTTTTACATGCACGTTTGTGTGTCACTTCCATGCATTAGGCGGGTGATGCCTTCATGCTGTCGTTAAAGTGCTATATTTGTGGTTTTGCAGAAGTTTCAGCCTCGAAAATTCATGTTGTGTATGTTTTATGTTACCTGAGATCACTTCAGAAACAGAAACAGTATCGGGTTTAACACCAAGTAGGTTTCCACATACGAGGAATTTGACTTGGTGTCGTGGTGCATACATAAACACAGTAAGAGGTATACATTGCGGAAAACAAGCAAAAATAGTCCTATTATTAAAACTTTTATAAAACAAATTAAAACAAATCCAAAATAAGATATACATGGATTTGTTTATTTCTGTCAGGGATCAGCTTGTGTTAAGTTTGATATCAAATAATCCTTATACATATTTAAGATTCCTCACATATCATAGGGATTGTTATTGTCTCAATGGTGTGTTCAGGTTCTTTGGGAAACGCCAGTATCCTTGAATGTGGAAGAACAACATTTTAAGTGTAAGAAACTTTACAAAAGTTATTTTCACAACAACAATATCTGCTTATCTGCTTCTTCTAGGTTTTATTCTCTAACCAAATGACCTTTGTGAGCAGAGATTGTCATGAGCTGATTCTCAAATGTCGCATTGTCCTTGAATGCACCAACAAACAAATCATTCCTAAACAAATTGTGATGGATCAGAACTTAGGTTTGTTTCATGTAAAGTATATGCAGCATGTAAACAGGCTTCATCCTGCAAAACCACAGGTATGGTACTGTCAATTATCCAGAAACAGAAATGTAATATATTGATTGTGAATATAATATATATGGTCATTGGATTACTCTTGTATTGTATGAAGATAATATGATGATATAAATGCATATGTTGCATGCATATCTGTTTGTTGCAAGTTGTACATTTTACTCAGTGTGTGATGATGTTTGTAAGGTGTCATGTGTTACGTTAAGCTAATTCCATTGGATGTTGTCATATAATGACTCCTTCTGTCCTGTGCTTTAGTAAAACCTCCAGTATGTGAGTGTTGAAGATATGCATAGCATACAGTGTTCTTCCAGTTATGCACTTTGTCGGTGGTGGTGTTCGAGGGAATTTGGGGATCTTTGCACAGATGTATGAGAAAATAAACGTTTGTATTTTATGTACAGTATGTTATTATACAACTGGGATTGGAACTGGCTCAGATTTAGTATTGATTGTTGGTGTTTTGTCATATTCTGTATTTTTAAAAAGGCTCTTTTTAGTCAGAGCCGTTCACCGTCATTGTGAGTGACACCGTGCTGTGTGCCGTCATGGATCACTCTGGAAATGTTCCAACAAATATATAAAACATTTCAGAATCATCCTAAACTTGTTTTCTTTCGCTTTCACCTCATAAATATTGACTCACCTCAAGTCATGTTTCAGTATTATCAGAAATGATTTATCCTAAAGCATGCATGAAAATATCCTGCTCGATCTATTTAACATGTTTTGATTTATTTTGATTTGATAACATTTTAATTACATGTAAAAAAAGAAAATTCACAAAGGACACAAAAACAAAATGTTCAAATAGAAAGTTTACTGAACTCAATCAAAATATATATTTATTATTTAATTAAAACCAGATTTGCATCAGATCATTATCAAGCAAGTTTTTGTATAACATTCTTAAATCCTTACTATTCAGTACCTCTAAGTAAAAGCAAAATAAATGATGTCATATTGACAAAAAATGTCTTTAATTGCAATAATTTTAAGCCATATTTATGCATGAAGGTGTAGTAAACCGGCGCCCCTCCAGACTGAGCTACTGCAGCCTAGATCCACTATACAGTTTATACAGAAATCAAATCGGGGGGGGGCAAAGACCAATAAACCTAAATAAAGCTGAACTACGTGATGAAGAGATGTACCACCTAAAGTCCTAAACCTCACATAACACATTTTATAGTTGACATTTTAAACAAGGTACACTTCAGCTCTGCCGTCAGCATCAGATCAGGATCCATGGAGAGACAGATCTCTTCAGGGTGTGCCTCCTCAATTATAAGCCCGTGTAGATAAAGAGAGCAAGGGCATACTCTCGCCTGCATCATCCTGGACTGCAACACCCTGGACTGCATCATCCTGGACTGCATCATCCTGGACTGCAACACCCTGGACTTCACCACCCTGAACTTCACCACCCTGGACAGAGAAAATAGAGCAGGAGGTGAAAAAAACAAACACACTAGCAGACTGTCTGGCACCAACGCCTGTCACATTGAGCACAGAGCATTTACATTTATTTAAATAAAAGTGATGATGATTTTTAACATAAAAAGGACATTCTAATCAAATCAAATCAAATCAAGTTTTATTTATAGAGCACATTTAAAAATGTTGGTCGAGCCAAAGTGCTGTACATGTAATAAAAACACTTTACTACAATTACAAGAAAAGAAAATAATTTACAACAGAAATATAAAAACAAAACACAGGGAAATGTCAGGTGTCGTGCTCCGCTCTGACTAGAAGGCCAGGGAGAAGAAGTGTGTCTTCAGTGAGGATTTAAAAACCCCTAGAGTCTGGGCCGACCTCACATGTACAGTAGGGGCAGACTGTTCCACAGCCTAGGGCCAGCTGCTGCAAAGGCTCGGGTTTTGAGCCTAATATCAAAATAGGTTTAAAAATCCAGTCTACCATAAACACTAAGATAAAGCGACTTGCTAACAACCAGACGTTTTGCAGTTGCTGATTTAATAGCAAAATGTTAATCATGTGGCCTGTTGCAAGTTATTAAAAAAAAAATGTTTTCATTCTTCATAATCAGTAAACCTGCAGATTTTAACTTTAGAGGTTTTAATCTGATTTATCCCTAAACCCTTACCCTAACACAAGTTTTGAAAAATCACGACTGTTACCATACGACTAAGATTCCTACTAACAATATTTTGCTGCAGGCCTTGAGGCCGTCTGAATGAAAACATCCCTTGTTATTTTTTTATTCTTTACCTTTTTTCCCATTACCTGTTCTCGTTGGTCAGTGCTTCCTCCTGGTACTTCAGGGGGGTCATCTACAATCAGCCCTCTGGCAACTTTGAAACACTCTTCCCATTGTTGTGCATGGATGTTGCTCTGGATTCCTTCAGTCAACTTCTCTTTTGTTGATTCCCTCAGAACCTCTTTCAGCACATTGCCCTCCTCTATTATAATCAGTTTGTTATACAGAAATCTTTTGTTGAAAAAGAATTCTGTTTTTTTTCCCCAGCATGTCCATCTGACACACAATGGCAAGACGAAAGCCACTAAAACAATTCCAAATAGAATACCGCCACCGATAGCCTAAAGAAAGAAAGAAAGAAAGAAAGAAAGAAAGATGGTTATAATCCAACAGCATTACTTCAAACTGATGCTGATAAAGTAGATCCAGAGTGGAAGCACTCACCCGGGATTTGTTCTTCAGTTCAGATTTGAGAACTTTGTCGTTGACCGTGATATTCCTCTTATCTACGCAGGCTAACTTTGCCTGTTGTTCAGAGCCGTCATTCAAACAGCAAACATACCAGTCTCCATCGAGGAACAAAAAAGCAACCCACAGCAAGCCGACTAAAAATGCCCTTAAAATGTGTTGGACATAAAACCAGCAAAGACCGCAGAGGCATTTACAATGTGAGGAATGGTATTTACAGACGCTTTGGAAAGAACTGTCCGCCAACAGTATTAAGAAAAGTATTATAAAGGGTGGCAGAGACATGTACAGGTTGCAGGTCAGTACTTGTGGTTTGCAGGTGCAGGCAAAATCCCTGTCGAGCAAAATATTGTAGGTAAAGATAAATATGATCACAGCGTAGGCGCTCATCTTCCCAGTGGCGATTTTTTCCATGAGGCTCTCCATCTCTGATGTGCAGCTTGCTTCAACTGACAATGATCAAAGTTCTGCATCTGCATATTTATATATACCCGCAAAAAATAACATTTCCTGTTTTTTTTACCAAGCAGCGACGCTGGTATCGTGTCAGGACGAGACTCTGGCATGGCAAACACGTTTTTTTCACAGAGATAGCATCGCAACCACCATTGCCTCCAATGTCTGTCTCCTCGGGTCTTGTTTTACATAGTTGTTTTTATCAGTCTTTGATTCAACACTATCAGATATATGATCGTAGATTCTTCTTTCGAAGGGGGGCCACAGGGGGGGTTCAAGTAAAGGCCAATGTATTTTTCACTGAGATTTGTTCCAGTTCTGTCCTGGGGATATTTCAGTTTGTAGTGTTGGTTCACACTAAGAACAGAATTTGTTCTCGACAGACCAGAACCTGAAAGAAGCCACATTATGACGTCCATGTTAACGCCAGCGCACACAATGATAACAAATGGGCACATGTTAGCAAATGTGTTTTAAGTATAGGGAATATTAGAGAATAAATTAGACGTGTGACTGGTTTATGTCGTGCCATGTTTATATTCATGTTGGTGGCAGCCTGTCCTCCTACAAAAAACGACCATATAGGTCGATTGTTCAGCCGCATATTAAGACCCAGAGTTACGTTTTAAAGTGTAGCACCTCTAGTGGTCGTGTAAGAAACAACATGCTCCCGTTGATTTCAAACGCTTCGGAGATTCTTTTATTCACAAATAACCCTCTCTGGAAAATCCTAAATTGTGCAATAGTTTGGCCATTAAAATGCTTTTTGATTAGATTTCTAGCGAGAAGTGTATATTGTACTTTTATAATCTACGTCCAGTGGATGTGTAGGATCTATAGTTTGATAGATATTACGAAGATGATTTGAGGTCTCGCCAGGAGAACGTGTATGCAGCTTCCATGTAAAGTTAGCGTGGGTGAAAACAGTTTTTCCGGTCTCGAAGTTTTCATAATAAAACCGGAAGTATTCCCCTCACTGTCAAATGATTACACAGTGATATCTGCATTACTCATCCACTAAACAACATCAGTTTATCCTTGTTAATTACACAATATTGATTAGTTTAAATTGTGTACAATGCTTTTGTGTTTTTAACCTTCTATTCGGAGAAACAAATAGTTTTTTCGGAGTTTAGAAACTACAGAGTTTCCGAAGACACTACACTATCCAGAATCCTCAGCTATCATTTGGGACTACAACATCCGCCTTGCTTTACAAACCCCGTGATTAGTCCTCAAGCTCTGTGATCGGATGTTGGAGTGGTAGTGCGACAAGGTTATGCCGAGCGTCAAACAGCTCTTTGAAATGGAATGGAACCACGGCAGACTATCCAAAACTGGACTCGAACGGGTCCAGCCCACCCCCCCCCCCCCCAGAACTACACATGCTGGCTATTGTGTGTTTCGCAACATGTTCTATGGCACGTCTCTACTGGGAATTGTAGTTTTAAAAGACGTTTTCGTATTTCCCACAATTAGATGTTGCCAGTATTAAACTGTGTCCACCCCTGGAGGTTTAGGGGATACGAAACACAGTGGTGTTATCAAATTTAAAACATATAATTAATAAATGGGTGAAAATTGCTTGTGTCCATAATGGGCAGCATTAATATACCCACATGACAGCTAAGGTCAGAAGAGCTTTATTTAACAGCTGGTCTTATGTCTGTGAGCCCTCCTGTTGTTAATTGATAAGCCTGAAACATGCACTTGTCAAGGTTCAGAGGCACATTTTGCAAATATGGCAGTAGCCATCGATCATCTTAAGATAAGATACTTTATTGATCCCAAGTTGGGAAATGTTTTTGTTACAGCAGCATGTACTACTTTGTTCTACTTTGTTCTATTCACTACAATTCAGAGGTTAACCTGGTATTTTTACTCCACTACATTTATTTTTGTGAAATATAAACAACCCTTAAATCAGACTTTAGTTACACCTGAGTCAAATTCAGGGAAGGTGATTGTCAAGTGCCAAAATAAACTATGCAATATATTAGACATTAAGTACTTTGTCAGACTTAAAGGTCCCATGTCATGCTTTTCCGGTTATTACCCGTCCCCTTGAGTTTGGAAAAATGCACAATATAAATCTATTCTAGTATACCTCAACAATGGAATTATGATCAGTGGAAATGGCCATGACATGGGTCCTTTAATATTTATCTGTTGATACCCCCAACTTTTTTTTCTTATTCAAAAGAAGACCTTAACTTAAAGTATTCTTTAATGTTTAAATAAAGCCTTATTAGTTTGTCTGTTTTGCACATCCTCCTATTAATATCTGTGGACGTCCTGCACTAAACTGTTTTATTGTAGAGATCACTACAGTATCTTCTTGATATTTTCTATTCTATATTTCTATCATTGACCTTCTACTTTCCCCCTATTTTGTATGTAGGCTGGTGGGGTAGGTAATTTTGGAGAAACCAGCTCGAGATCGCTAGAATTTGGAAATACACAGCCGGAAAAAATCTGCCACTTCCTTATAGAGCCCCTCCTTCAACACACACGAACGCGCACATGACCAATGAGGGCACGAGATAAGTTTGTGCACAGATGGAAGTCTGACAGGCAGGTAGGCCATCCAGTTACTTTAGCCGGCCCGGCTAAAATGATTGGTCGTGCTTTTTACAGTACTACGGCTTCCACAGATTAAATATTTTTGTATGTATTTATTGTCAAAGCATTTCATATATTCATTGCTATCGGGATGTTAAGAGCATTCCATGGAATATAACAAAAAGTGTATCTCGAGCCGGTTTCTCAAACTTACCTACCCCACCTTTAATATTTAAATGTTTTCATCAAATATAACATTCAACAACAAAATTCAATAACGTGCTTTAACCACTAGGCGGTGCGGGTTAAAAAACCAGTGGTCTAGTTAATAAAACATAATAATATCAGCTATTGAAATTGTGATTCCATAGATGTGTCTCCCATCACCCAAAACCCCTGACTATTCTCTCAACTCAGTATATTACATTCTTTAATTCAAAGAAAATCAGTAATATCTTTAAAAACTACAAGTCCCTTTCTATCAGCTGTGCACCGTCATGGTGTAAATATAACCTATCTACCAATTGGATCAAATATAAAAGTCAGCCGAATTAGCCGAATTAGTGTTGATACTGCAAGGATTGTGTGAAAAGAAATGTAAGATGTTGTTTAATTGCTGATATATTTATGATCCACGTCACGTATTCAGTTTTGGCGGCATTTCTTCCAGTTTGTCTAGAGGTCTTCTAATCAAGGCTCTATAAATAAAGAACTGCGGCAAATGTCTAATATCTAATGCAGCCGAACCGTGTATTACAATGCCGTTATGTGACAAAGAGAAAAGCAAGAACACTCGGAATAAAGTATTATTATTATTTTTTTGTTATGTTTTCCGATTTCATATCGCATAAACACCATATCCCGACGTGCATTGCGGCTAAAACATCCAGGATTATGGGTAGGTAGATGTTTTAGCCTATCAAAACCTTTGAAAAAAGAAATGTGTCTCTCAGAATCGAAAGGGAAAAACCTATGGGAAAAACACAAAAACATTGTACACAATTTAAACCAATTAATGTCGTGTAATTAACAAGGATAAACTGATGTGTTTTAGTGGATGAGTACTGCAGATATCACTGTTAAATCATTTGATCATTGGTTTTATTATGAAGACTTCGAGACCGGAAATACTGTTTTCACCCCGTGAGGGTTGACGCTAACTTTACATGGAAGCTGCCGCAAATACACGTTATCCTGGCGAAACCTCAAATCATCTTCGTAATATCTATTAAACTATAGATCCTACACATCCACTGGACGTGGATTATAAAAGTACAATATACACTTCTCGCTAGAAATCTAATCAAAAAGCATTTGAAAAGGCCAAACTATCCTACAATTTAGGATTTTACAGAGAGGGTTATTTGTGAATAAACTACCCTCTGTAACGTTTGCAATCAACGGGAGCACTAGAGATCGAAAACTTTAAAACGTGATTATAGGTCGTATTAAGCGCTTGAACAAATGACCTATTTGGTCATAATAAGGGCTTGAACAATCGACCTATTTGGTCGTATGATTTGGAAGACTTGTTGAAAATGTCATCTACTTATCTTCCTACAAACAATATTTTGCTGCAGGCCTTGAGGCAGACTGAATGAAATGTTGTTGTTGTTATTTTTGTATTCTTTACCTAGGTCTCTGCTTCTTACGGAGCCCCTAAAGGGACACGGAAAAAAAAGAGAGAGAGAAAAGAAAAAAGAGTCGGGATAACGGTTTAAGAGAGATAAAAAAATATGAGAAAAAAAATAAAGTCAGGAAAACGGGTTGACACTGATTAATAAGTCAAATGTGCCTGTAGAAAACCGCTTGTGCCACAATAGGATAGCAACAAGCTAGTCAGATTAGTTTCGGTTGCTATGCTAACATCACCCATTTTATACCAGAGACACTTTCATAACACCGTTGTGATGCCAAACAGCTTCAATTCTTACTGAAACACATTCACTTATGGGTATGGGGGATATTTATCAGCTGCTTGTGTGACAGTCGGACAGTGAAGACTTTCCAGCGGCCGCTGCCGTGAGTTAACGGTAGACTAAACTCTGCCGTGAGTTAACGGGAAACTAAACTCTGCCGTGAGTTAACGGGAGACTAAACTCTGCCATTGTTGTTGTTGTGAGCAGCGTTTGGGAGAAAATCAGCTGAGTAAATGGTGATGTCATGACGCAGCAGTGGCAGCACCAGTCGGATTCTGAGCGGTGGAAACAAGTGGTGCTACAGAGAAGAACCAGTTAAGCACCAGAAAAGCACAAGAACGGTTCTTGAACCGGAACCAGTTTGGTGGAAAAGGGGCATTGGACATCTTCCACGCAAACACGGTGCTCAATCAGTGTCAAAGTATTTAAAAGGTCGCCATCCGTGTCTATAGTATATCTCAAAGAGCACTTATCCGCCCGAGTACTTCAAAAAAGTCTTCAATATGGGCCAAAATAGTATCCCTTGGTAAACCGTGTTGATCAATT